CAGTATTCAGATCAAGTTGGGAGATTCTGTAAATTCTCTTGCTTGTATTTTATTTGAAAAGGTGTGTTGTGTGGTTAAAGGTTGGTGTCAACTAACTTACAGAATACTTTATTACCTAATAATTTGTTGCATCAGAAAATGATAGTTTATTCGTGCATATTTGGTTATTGCATGAGTGGAAAGTTTTATGGTGAGAGGTTGAATTGTGAAAAGTTCCTTTGAGCTTCTTTTTATAACATTTTCAAAATTGTGGCAAATTATGCTGTGCATCCGTATGCACTCTGCATGGTGCATACGGATGCAAAAACGATGTCGTTTTGCATAAAACGCCCGCCCTACTTAAAAAAAAAAAAAAAACCAGTTTCGATTCCCAGCAACAACATTATGTTATTCATTTTTAGTTCATTCATTTTGGATTTTTTAGTTATGAAGTTCTGGAAGTGTAGTTATGCAATTCTGGATGTGTAGTTATAAAGTTATGGATGTGTAGTTATGAAATTCTGAAAATGTAGTTATGCAATTCTGGAAGTATAATTATGCAATTCTGGATGTATAGTTATGAAATTATGAAAGTGTAGTGAAATTATGAAGTTAGACGTCAAAATGACGTTGTTTTTGCATCCGTATGCACCATGCATGGTGCATACGGAGCACAGCATAACGCTCCCAAAATTGTTGAGCCCCCTAGTGGTTGGATTTTGGATCCCAAAGAAATTATTATTTTTTTTAATGCAGAGGAAGAGTGGAACCCCGGGGAACAAACAAAACTAGTCACCGCGGACAAAAGGAACTCCTAGACAATCCTTGCGGATATCCCAAAGAAGTTATTGATTAATCTAGTGAGGGAATATTAGGGCATCCACACTAGTGGAGAATGCACACATTTTAAAAAAAAGGAAGCCATGTTGGAGGAGAGAGAAGCATGAAGAGAAAATTGAAGACCTTCTGCAAGAGAAGGGATAATGCAGAAAAGTGGGTCCCACTGATCAAAAGGTTCAGTCGCGCGTGCTGCTGGTGCTTGGCACGAATGCGCCCAGCGGGCGCGTGCACTGACAATGACATTTTTTTTTTATTTTTTTTAATCTGTTTTGTTTTGTTTTTTTCCTCCCACATTTTCTTTCTTAATCATTCTTACAATAACCCCTTAATATTCCCAACTGATATTGATGGTCTTAGAGCAATCCCAATATTTTTTTTTCTTACAAAAAGTCCACACTTAAAGGACAAGGCATACTCTCATATTCTCTCTCTTCCATCTTACAGAAATTTAAGAAAAATCATTATTGTGGCAATCTTAATGAATCAAGCTTTCTTGGTTGTTTGTGATGGTGTTAGAGCAATCTTAATGGATCAATTTTTTATTTTTTTTGGCCATTAAGAGAGAGGAGAGAGGAGAGAGAAAAGAAAAAAAAAATGAAAACAGTTCTATATGCTCACCCATGCGAATTAAACCAAAAAAAAAAAAAGTTTAGGGCCTACAAAAATTTTTACTTCTTGCAAGTTAATTTTCTTCTCTTTTCTCAATCCTCTCTCCCCCATTTCACCATCTCTCTCCTTCAAGTCATAGAAAAAATTAAGAAAAAAAAAATCATTGATAGCCTTACTCTTAAAAATCTATTCAATATCATGTAGGAGAAGTGAAGACTTAACGGAAATAGAGTCAAATAGTTAGTGAATTAAATATATAAATGCAATTAGGTTACAGAATTAAAAAAAAATACAATTAACCTCTCAAATTACGTAAAATTGCGCAATTATACCAAAATGATATGTTGTTAATAGTCTTTTGGTAATTTATTAGTTGGTATGAGCATATAGCTATTACTGTGCAATTCAACTATCAGTTTAAACTTTTAGTTGAGATTGAGCATATGCTTCAATTTGGTATCAGAGCCAGACCTAAGGTCATGAATTCGAATCTCAGTGTCACTCGTAAGCGACTATTGTGCGTTGCACACGTGATTCAACCGTATAGGCAAGTCACCATGGCATATAAATTGCACCTTCTAGAAGACACTCTCATCCATTCTATCTTGAGTGGCAAATTATATGGTGCACAGGCACAATGCATTGTTCGCCTCTTGAGTGGCAAATTATATCGTGCACGGGCCCGTGCACAGGCACAATGCGAGACATCGTTTTGTACTTTTTTTTTTTTTTTTTTTTTTTTTTTTTTTTTTTTTTTTTGAAATTCTATTTCTCGTGTCTGCTGTTAACTTTAAAAAAAAAAATTCTCATGTTTCGAATGTATATAATTGTATAATAGAATGTACATTATTGTATAATAAAATATACATAATTGTATAACAAAACACACATAATATTTTTTGAAAGGATAATACAAATAATCTAACATAATACATAATACATAATACACATAAACTCTTAACATAATACATATAAACTCTTAACTCTTAAAAAAAAATCCTTTGTTCCGAATGTACATAATTGTTGAATCAAAATGGAAGAAGAAAAGGGTCTGGTGGATAAAAAATGTGTTCGTTCGGCATATTTTGAAAAACCTCCGTAAACTGAAAAAAAAAAAAAAAAAAAAAACCTCTTTACCTCTCTGCCCTCCCAAACCTTACTTCTCGCTGTTCCTTTGTAGTGTGGCCGCCGGCCTCTGGCTGACTCTGTCCTTGGCCGGTGGTCTCATACTTCCGTAGTTCCTTTGTATTTTGTTTTTTAGTTTCACAACTTCCACCACCAGATCTAATCAAGAAGCCCCCCACCATTGTCAATGCTTATTTTTCAACAAAAAGGGAAAAGAAGACTATGGCAGTGTTCTTTTCTTGAATCTAGGTAAGGAAGGCTTTGAGTTCTGAAAAAGGACAAGAAGTTCTGTGCTTTGATCAAGGACAAGAAGGCCTGGTGTTTTCTTGACAAAAGAAGGTGTTGAGTTCTGTTTTTTTTTTTTTTTTTTTTAATCTAAAGATCTGTGTTTTTTACTCTTTGGCGAGTTATTCCCTCTCGTTTCTTTGGCGAGTTCTTTTTCATTAAGGTGAAACGATTTAATTGATCATGGTGTATGTTTATCTCATCCTGAGCAACGAAAAAGATCTGAACCATGATATGCAGTTCAGATTAATGATGATATTGTCTACGGACATAAGAGCTGCAATAATTACTCATGTGGTATTTAAGACTTCTCAAACAGAGTCAGTCTTGGATAGCCAGATCATTAACAACATCAAAGAAGCTTCAAGTCCCTCCAATGAATTCAGCTTTAATCTTGTAACACAGTTTGCGATTCAATTTTTTTTTTTAACATTGCTAGGAAAGTTGTTTATATGTCTGACTGTAAAGAATGTTTTATCATTCTATGGATCTTTATTGTAACTGTTTCAATTTTATGATTAATGAATTAGCTCTTTATTTTCAAAAAAAAAAAAAAAAGGTCGGGGTCTAAATAATGAAAATTAATGAGCCATCTGCAGCTATGAAAAAAGGCCAATTATATTGCAAACCTTATTAGTATTATATATATATATATATATATATATATATATATATATATATATATATATATATATATATACACACACACACACAATTTATTCATAAATATTAAATAATATTAATTTATAGGTATTGATGTAAATTTAATGTTAATTTTTATTTATAATTTTAAGAATTTTTAAATTTAATTAAAAATTTATATTTATTGGTTGATTGATTGATTAATCGAACTTTTTCTTTTATTCAGTTAATTCGTTAATAAAATTTTTTGGTTCGGTTAATGGTTAAAAGTTTAGAAATTTCGATTAATTTAGTTTGGTTAACCGAATGTACACTCTTACAAATGTGAATTAACTAGGATGTACACATTTGTTTGAAGGGAATCAAAATTTATTTGACTTAAAAGTATTACAATTTTTTTTTTTTTTTTCACTTTATTACTAGTTTTTTCTTTGCTTACCTTAATCATTTTGAAAACAATTAGCTCTAGGATTAATTGTATTCGTCAAGTAGTATTGAAATAAATGTTAATGTATGATTTTTGAATGTTACTGGCTCTATTACAATATGTATGATTTTTGAATGCTACTGGCTCTATTACAATGTAGTATCTGTTCATATACTTTCTCAACCTACTGAAACACAAAGAACCAATAACTGAGGCGTGAACTCACAATCTTCCAAATGAAAGTCCAACTCGGATACCATTAGACCACATAGTCTTGGTAAATGTTAATGTATGATACTTTTGACTTAAAATTTGTTTTTCTCACATTTTTTACATGCACTTTAAGAGAAAACTAATGAATTTACATATTATCATCATCAATAATTTTAACAACTATTTGAGGTGAGAGACTAAAATGATCACTAAACAAACAATTTAGGGACTAAATGTCTAAATGGATTCACATGTATAATTAAAGAACTGAGTGAGCTATTCTAATATAATTGAGAGACTAGAATGACCATTCTCCGATTTCTCGCTTATAGTAATTTTGGAGAAAATATTTTACTTAATTCAAGATACTATTTGTTATAACTACTACTTTGACAAGTTTCTCCTTGATGTAATTATTACTGATTCTTTAATCACATCAAATGCATTTACGACTTCATGTATTAAAGCTATGTTAAACATATAATTTATAAATATATATGTGCAATTCAACTATCAATTTAAACTTTTAATTAGTACGGAATACATAATTTAATTGAATATCAAAATTAATCACGTATCAAAAGTCATGAGTTCGAATCTCGATTCACTTGTCTTTGATCTAATCATCTGAAACCCAAACTACAAAACCTGTAATAACTCTTCTTCTCTCACGGGAACAAAATCCAAAATTAACATAAGATTAGTGTGAATTTAACGTAGTCCAAAACCCAAACTACCAGAGTCCTTATCACTTTCACATTAGTCTACTCATCCCTTTCTGCCTTTTCTCTTTCTACATGTTCACGTAATATATAATATCTTTTCTCTCTCTCTATATATCTGTGTATATATATATATATATATATATATATATATATATATATATATATATATATATATATGCAGATCTCCCAGTAATTTTCTCACATCCAGCTTTTGCAGTGGTAGATTGGGAGATGGGTAAAGCCTCCGTAATCGTGTACATCACAATCGCCGTGCTCCTCCTACTGCTCATCTCCCAATCTCCCAACAAGGGCAACAAGCACCGCCGCCACCGCCGCCTCAAGCTCCGTTCCAACTTCACCTTCTCTCCGCCCGCCGACGGCCACCTCCACCACCATGACCGTATCCATTTCGACCCAATTGTCGCCGACATCGAGCGGAAGCGGGAGGACAAGGAGTGGGAGAAGATGTACATAGAGACGCACCACCCGGAGCTGAAGTCCAGCGAGGAACACGCCCCCGGGGAGCAGGCGCAGCCGGAGTGGGAGGACTTCATTGACGCCGAGGATTATCTCAATGACGAGGAGAAGTTCAATGTGACTAATCGGCTGGTGATGCTGTTCCCTAAGATTGATATTGACCCGCCGGATGGGTACGTGAGTGAGCGCGAGTTGACTCAGTGGAATTTGGAGCAGAGCAGGAGGGATGTGCTGCACCGGACCGAGAGGGAGATGGAGACTCACGACAAGAACCGCGATGGCTTCGTCTCTTTTGCCGAGTATGAGCCTCCCACATGGGTGCAAAAATCGGGTCAGTTCACTTAACACACCTCAATGTTGCTTTGATTCGCCGCATTTGTTGTTTTTTTTTTTTTAGATCTAATTCCTTCAATTCACTGCCTCTTGTGAATGAGCTGGGGTTTATCTTTATCCCCTGAATAATTTTGTTAAGAACTATTGTCTTTGTGAGAAAAGAGTGATAGTGAGCTAGAGGATCATGATCTAGTAGGAAAGAAGCTGATTTGAATTGACAAATAGCAATCAGGATGAGTTCTGCTTCAATCAAAACTAAACAAGGCACTTACACAATCCAGATATTGCCCTAGAGGGGTTTTTTGAAATTTAGTACTGGGATTTGGTTTAAGAAATATTTTCCCCATTGCAACAGTTCAATGTGTGCTTGGAAGTGGAACAAATTTGCTTAAAGTTAATAGATCAAAGATCAATTCTAGATTGATGGTAGTGAATTTTTCATGATAATAATATAAACTCAACCCTTCCGGTTATAAAGCTCTAGAACATAATCTTTGCCCTACTGGAGGTTCATATGATAATTGATATTTCTTTTGCCAAACCTTGACCTAGTTAAGCTTGTTTGTGCTATGGTGAACTTCTTCATATAGCATACAGATAAGATATTAGTTAAATGTCATCTTCTTTCTGCATTTAAAGTGTTAGTACTATTTATATTATCTGTCAAATGGTAGGTTTTGCATTAAACTATAGAGAGGTTAAACAAATGGCTCTTGTTTGTACAATATTCAGTAGTCAGCTTTAATGAAGCAACACTAGCATTTATATTTTGTTCCCGTAGGCTGTAACAATTATGATGCTATGTTTCCCTTTCCTAAAGTTGATGAAGTTTGCATTGTGTTTCGTGCATGCATCATACACCAGAAAGCAATTCAGTTGGGTATGACATGGGCTGGTGGAAAGAAGAGCATTTTAATGCATCAGATATGGATGGCGATGGTCTATTAAATATTACAGAATTCAATGAGTAAGTATTTTTTTCCCTCGCAGAAGTAGCCTGAAAGTGGAGATAGATGGCACTAAATCAATTTTGTTTCTAGTCTTTGTCTCTTCCATTAATTTTATTTGCTACTGTGATATTGTAGCTTTCTGCACCCTGCAGACTCCACCAACCCAAAGCTACTACTATGGTTGTGCAAGGAAGAGATAAGGTGCAATGATTTTCTTTTAAGCACATTTTCATTTGATGATTGAAATTAGTTTTTTTTTTTTTTTCTTTTTTTTTTTTTTTTGGGTATTACAGTGATATGATACCCTTTGTCTTTTCTCAATTTCAGGGAGAGAGATAGTGACAAAGATGGGAAAGTTAACTTCAATGAGTTTTTCCATGGGCTCTTCGACTTAGTAAGAAACTATGATGAGGAGGGTCACAATACTTCGCACCATTCTGATGATTCAGGAAGCACTCCAGCTCGAAAGTTGTTTGATGAGCTTGATAAAGATGGCGATGGGTGATTAGCCTTATATCCTTTCTAAGACTGATTCTATTATTGATCTAATATTAAAAAGAGTAACAAATGCATTTACCTTCTCTGCATTGCAGATTTTTGTCTGATGTGGAATTACTACCTATAATTGAAAAACTTCATCCATCGGAGCGTTACTATGCTAAGCAACAGGCTGATTACATCATACAACAGGTAGTTGTCTGCTGACAATGATTATTAAGTAGTTAACTCATTTTAAATTGCAATATGAAAGTATATACACGCAAAGATCTACGGATCTACCATCCTATTAAAGATCAACTTTCTTTAACCATTCTTTCCTCCTTCTAACTGTGGCAATAGCCTCCTATCGCTCCATCAAAGAAAAGAGATCTTAGATATTATTTCTGAATTAAGAGGTACATTATAGGCTTCTCTTAAAATATCTGACCTGCAGCAATTGGCTTAGTTTCTTCCCTGGACAGGGCATAAGTATAAAATATAGATAGTCTTATAATGGTGTCGTTTTCTATGGAATATTACCCAACGCTAAGTGGAGTTGTGTGCTTATACCTCCATCTTAAAATTTCCCTGATAACTTGATGCCTATTCCACTATATTCATTTGCCAACTTATACAATAATTCGCAGTTCAAAGAATCAATAAGGTGTACATAGGAGTATAAAACTCCTGGCAAAAGCTCCCAATTTCTCAATATAGGGTGTCTTGTTAATCTGTTTCATATACTAAGCAATAATTCTTGGGTATAATGTTACTTGTGTTGTTTAGTGGTAAATGAAGTTTAAGGACCACCTAATTAGGTAATTAGGTTGTGAGATATTATCAACTCATTCATATGTAGTCCACCCTCTTTTATGTGTGCCAAAAATTTCTAAAGATTTTGTTTGATGAAAAGAATCATTCGCAGTGTTGTTCTACATTGCTGCTGTTGTGGAAAGAATTCATTATTATATTAGACTCTATGAGTTTTGCCCAATTCATTTGAATTTTGTGTTTCTGTATTCTGAAATTTTTATTTCAATTATTAAATTGTTCAAGTACTCTTTTTTCACTATTCATCAATTCATCCATGTTGATTGTCTAACTAAAAAGGGCATGGAACCATAAAAGTGAAAATTCTATTTGAGGAAAGAATAGGCAGAGGGGGGCACAAAATATGTACTTTTTTTTGTTTATGGAGCAGACAGATCCTTCACATTGAAATATCAAACAGCAATGTGAACATTATTGAAAGTTTCTCAAAAAAAATTTAATTTATTAATCCTATTTGCCTTCTGTTAGTAATTTGTAGTAATGTGCTTGTGGAAATTTTCTTCAGTCTTACAAATTAGAAATGATGTAATGACAATTTTGATCTTGATTTATGTACTCATAATGCCAACAGGCTGACTCGGACAAAGATGGACGTCTGACTTTGTCTGAGATGATTGACAGTCCATATGTATTCTATAGTGCAATATTCAATGAAGATGAAGAAAGCGACTATGAAGAGTACCACGATGAGTTCCGTTAGCTCACATCTATGTGAGTATGACTTTAATTCTTTCAAACAATCGTTATTAACAATTACTCCACTAATGATAGAGAGCTGAAAGTGGCAAGACTTAATGCAGCCCTATACTTGTACCACTCACTTCGGTTCAAGCAAAGACCTGGGATGTGATTTACTCATTTCCTCCCTATTTCTATGTATTTTAAACGGCTAGGAGAAATACTTGGATCTAGAAATTCTGTCCAGTTTCTTGATTCATTCAAATAGGTGAATGGATCATTGGCTTATTTTACTTTACGTGCAAAGATGCAAAATATTTGATGTTGACGGCTTTGGTTTATATTTGCAGGGTTGTAGTAAGGTGCTCAAAGTGAAGTCAGTCTCGTACATTGCGTATTTGTGATATTTATCGAAGTGGTGGAGGTGTTTGTAAGCAACCAGACGCTGCACCGGATATCTATCGACTACTAAAAATGGTGGTAACTTTTGTTAGCCATTTTCGTGCCACTGAGATCATCCCTCTCATGTTTCATTTGCCACTGCAGATTGTTGACTTTTTTGATTGTGTAGAGAGGAAACTAAGTAGGGAGGATTAAATGATTAGTGATTACAGGGTAGATAGTAATTTAAAATCAAACTTGTCGCTTTAACACTTGTTTCCATATCGTTTGCAGTTGATTGGTAGGACTTGTTCAATATCACACTAAACCATTTTGTAATCTATAGATTATTATTGCTGATTTTTAGCGTGTTTCAGCTTGAATTAAAATATCATACTTTACATATCGTGCAATAATATTGGGTCGTCACAAATTTACTTTTTTTTTTTTTGGATTTTTTTCTCAAAATTATGGTAATCTATATAGGTAAATACCATATATTATTTACCATCTAAATAACTCGTAGTAATTACTAATTGTATGTAACACCTAAATTTATTATAGTAATTAAACATAGAGAATGCCTTCGTACAAAGATTTTATATATTTTTACTTTAAATAATACCAATCACCTATGCACTTCTTTTGATTATTTTTGAATAAAATCTTAAAAATTATGGTTATTATTCCTACTATAGATTTTATCTAATCAATTAAGGAAATTGATAATACACATATTACATCCATAATTAATGGAACAGGTGAAAGTTTAAAAGGGTGACTAGGGATCAAGTCTAGCCTCATGTTCAGTTAAGTTACCACTATGATTTACATCCTCTCACTCTGGCTCTGTGGTTCATTTTCAGTTGAGTTACCATGATTTACATCCTTGGCGAGTTGGAGTTCAACCTTTTGGAAGAATTAATAGAGATTTAAAATATTATGATAATTATTCTAATTCACAGATTATTACCCAAATTCACATATTATTACGTTGATATAATTATGTAAATTATTCCAATTCACAGATTATTATTAATTAGTAACCCATGTGAATGATGCACATGGAGAAGAATTATTAATTAGTAACCCATGTGAATCATGCATACACTAAATAATCAGCTCGCTATAAATAGTTGTGGCTCTCTTACCATCTACAAGCTAGCCTATATTTCAAAATTCAAAGAATCTGACAATGGCGCTAAATGTTGAAATTCATGAGAGAGAGAATGTGAGGCCATTTTCCCCAACTCCTCATTCCCTGAGAAACTATAAGCTCTCTAAGATTGATCAAATGGAAGGAACTCATTACACCTCGATGTTGTTCTTCTACAACTCCGGCGGCGACGACTATGATGAGCTGAAACAATCACTGTCAAAGACGTTGTCCGTCTTTTACCCGGTGGCCGGAAGGGTGAAAGATGGAATGACAATCGAGTGCAACGACGAGGGCGTGGATTTTGTGCGGGCGAATGTAACAAACTATGATTTGTCTGATTTGCTCCGACCCCGGATCTGTAGGCCGGGTTCACCATCTCCGGCAGCTGCTTCCGTGTGATCCCTATCCAATGGATTTTGATCCTTCCCAGCCCATGTGACGGGCGAGCATGTGAGCAAAATTGAAGATCAAGGTGGGTTGACGACCGAAATAGAAAAGATAGCAGCTTTTGGCTTTTGGTGTTGATAATAAGATTAAGTTTTTCGGCATCAGTAGTCTTGCGGCTTTCCATTTCATGAGATTGATTTTGGGTGGGGTAAGCCGATTTGGTTTCTAGCGGCCCCATTTAATCAAGTCGACGGCGCTAATTTGTACAAGACTGGTGATGGGGGCATAGAAGCAATAATTGGATTGACAACACAGGTTGATGGATTTAATTAATTCGGGGTAGATCCGAATTACTAAACCCGATAGATAAGAGATTGGGAAAGACGTTGAATGCGTGTCGCGGGGACACCTTTGTATTGATAATGTTTTCAGGAGAATTACAAGGTAAATATGGTAATAATAAATAGGAAGTAGATGTCCTAACAAGACAAGGATGCGCCCTTTTATACTAAATAGTTCTCCCAACCGATCCCAAGAGAATAGGGCGGGCGGTTGGATCTTAGTTGACCAAGTCACGCGGGGAGGCCCCGGTGGGGTCCCCAACTGAGGTCCTCGCAGTAGTCCCTGCAGTAGTCCTTGGTCCACGCAGTAGTCCTTGCCCGAGGTCCACGCAGTAGTCCTTGCCCGAGGTCCACGATGGGGACCCCATCGTGTCACGCCGCCACCCCGGGTCGGATTGTGCCCCGCATCCATTCTCCTAATATATCCATCATGAGTCTCCCACTCTCTGAGTTGCGAGTCTTCGTCAACGAAAGAGAGTAGCTTGAGCCGAAGGTCGACACGCCCTGCCTCCTTCCTCTTTGGCCGACTTCTGAGGTCGTCCCCAACTGGGGTCCCCATAGCAGGCCCCACCCGAGGTCCACGCCGGGGACCCCGTTGGGGTCTCCAAGGCCTCTCGTATCACGCCCCCACCCCGGGTCGGATTGCCCCGAAACCATTCTCCTAATATATCCATCACAGGTTATGTCCAGTTTAGATAAGGACAAAGAGTTTATTGCTCGTGTATCTTGTATCCAAACCTTGTCGTCGGAACAGCCCACTTTACCCAGCAACTATTAATCCAATCGTTATGCCATGGAACCGTGTTCACCATGGATGGTGAACACGGTCCAAACGGTAAGGATGCCACCGTTATCTTCTTCTTCTTCTCTTCTTTTTTTTTTTTTTTAAAAAAAAATAAAAATTAACAGCACGACTTTTCTTCTTCATTTTCACATTTCGTGGTTTCATTTCCTCCTCGCGCAAGCTTCTTAAACACTCATAAATTATGAATGTATAGACATGAAATTATGAATTTTCTTTTATGAGATTATGAATTTTCTGTTATGAAATTATGAATTTTCTATTATGAGATTATGAATTTACAGAAAATTCATAATTACATAATTGTAAATTCATAATCTCACAGAAAATTTATAATTTCATAAATGTAAATTCATAATCTGAATATAGAATGCAAAACGCCGTTAAAAGCACATTAACTAAATTTTTTTTCCGTAAAAATGCAGCCGTTTCAGACCGTGTTCACCAGGTATGGTGAACACGTTTTCACGGCATAATTTGCGCTATTAATCTCTTCTCCCAAGTATCAATGGTATGGTTAATATCAAGTAATAATAATGTTAGCTATGTTATATCCTTCGCTATTTGAATGTAGTACTAATTGTACGGGGTATATCCATGAATATTGATGAGATGATGCATGTCTCTTTTAATTTTATTAGAAGTTTTGAGTTTTACCTAAAATTTATAAAAAATTATATTGTCACTCTTTGAGGTCTAAGATCTCGTTTCGAGCATAATACTCAAGTTATATCAATTATAATAACATTAGTATGTCAAATGGGTGGGTGATTTCTCTTAAAAGATCTGACAAGCAGCAATTGGCTTAGTTTCTTCCCTGGAGATAAGTATAAAATATAGATAGTCTTATAATGGTGTCGTTTTCTATGGAATATTACCCAACGCTAAGTGGAGTTGTGTGCTTATACCTCCATCTTAAAATTTCCCTGATAACTTGATGCCTATTCCACTATATTCATTTGCCAATTTATACAATAATAATTCACAGTTCAAAGAATCAATAAGGTGTGCATAGGAGTATAAAACTCCTGGCAAAAGCTCCCAGTTCAAAGCTCCTAGTTACCGCTTTAACATCGAAATTAAGGTAAATTGCATGTGGTTTAGTTATCAGTTAACATCAAAAGCTCAAGTTGCGAGCAACTTGATTATCGCACATGGTAAACACCTAAGATTACGCAATTACATCAACTCCAAAATTTCAAAACTTTCTTTCTAACAACTTTGAATATTTTCTCTCTCTATTTAAACTTTATAAACCTATCTACATTTAATAAAATTATTTTTTTCTTCATTATCATATATTTTCCTCATACCTAAACTCTACCGATTTTAGCCTAATTGCAGTATTTTGAAATTTTAGGCAAAAAAATTATTGAGAAATTAATGAGACTTTTAATTTCAATCACTGTACCACTTGCTGTGTTTAATTAATTATTTATTTATTTATTTATTTATGTCATTAATTTGTGTGATGGAAAGACAATATTACCCATGTTAAAATGGGGAGTAAAATTTTTCGGTAAAAATTGAACGAAAAATGCACCGAAATGACCAAATTTGCTAAGAAAGTCATAGTCGAGAATCAATTTTATAAATTTTAAAAATTGTAAATCAAAATTGATAGAGACGCCATAGTCGTGGGACCAAAAGTGCAAAAAACTCTTTATTTTTGTTATTTAATTCAAATCTTTTAATTAATTATAAAATTCATTATTTTTCCTATCTCTTACTTTTAAATAATAAAATAAAATTTCATACAATAATTTGCCGTATTCTCCTTAAACCCCCCTAAACTTCTAAATTCTCAAGCCAACTTTTTTTAAAACAAGCCAACTATTTCCTCCTAAACCATACTAATTGTCACTAAAGTGCATGCGGCCTAGACCCTCGGTCGTTTCTTGATTTTCTTCTTCGCTGTTTCGACAACTTTGATCGTCTCTGTTGTGGCATCTCCCTCTGTCGCGACCAGTCGCCATTCCGAACGTCTTTGTTGCGGCATCTCCCTCTGTCGCGACAAGTCGCCATTCCGGGGATCTCTGTTGCGGGCTATCCCTTTGTCACGACAACTCGTCATTCCGGTCGTCTCTGTTGCGGCCTCTCCCTCTGTGTCGCGACAACTCGCCATTCCGGTCGTCTCTGTTGCGGGCTCTCCCTCTGTCGCGAACTCGCCATTCCGGTGGTCTCTGTTGCGGGCTCTCCCTCTGTCGCGAACTCGCCATTCCGGTGGTCTCTGTTGCGGCCTCTCCCTCTGTGTCGCGACAACTCGCAATTCCGGTCGTCTCTGTTGCGGCCTCTCCCTCTGTCGCGAACTCGCCATTCCGGTGGTCTCTGTTGCGGGCTCTCCCTCTGTCGCGACAAGTCGCCATTCCGGTCGTCTCTGTTGCGGGCTCTCCCTCTATGTCGCGACAACTCGACAATCCGGTCGTCTCTGTTGCGGCCTCTCCCTCTGTGTCGCTACAACTCGACATTCCGGTCGTCTCTGTTGCGGCCTCTCCTTCTATCGTGAACTCGCCATTCCGGTGGTCTCTGTTGAGGTTTCTCCCTCTATCGCGACAAGTCACCATCCCGGTCGTCTCTGTTGCGGGCTCTCCCTCTGTGTTGCGACAACTCGCCATTCCGATCGTCTCTCTATTGCAGGCTCTCCCTCTGTGTCGCGACAACTCGCCATTCCGGTCGTCTCTCTGTTGCGGCCTCTCTCACACAGTCTCCACCTCCACCTCAACAGGTATTTTATTATTATTATTATTATTATTTGAATACACATGTATTTTATTATTATTATTATTATTATTATTATTATTATTATTATTATTATTATTATTATTATTATTATTATTATTATTATTATTATTATTATTATTATTTTTGAATACACAGTTATTTTTTTTAATTACAATTTATATAAAAATGTATGTTATACAAGTAATATATTACTTAATTGGATAAAAATATTTTTTTTTGACAGAAATTGGATAAAAATATAACAGTTATTAAATTAATAATCAACATTGTTTTATTGATACTTCATTGCTGTAACAGGTAAGATTTGATACCTATACAGAAAAATGGTGGACTGTTGGTCATTTGTGCCTGACTATGTTATTCATGATGTTCTTTCTTATCTACCCATCAAAGATACTACCTGTACTAGTATTCTATCCAAGAGGTGGTATGGAATTTGACATTCATACCCGAATGCTGAGCTTACTTTTGATTTTTGTACATGTGGTCTGGATTTCATATTTAGTCATGGGAAGAAGTTTTTGGATCATATGGAAAGTTGCATAAATCAATGCCTTGCTGAAAAGGCTTCTACAGAAGATTTCAGCTTAAGTGTATGTTTTTCTGAAATTGAAAGATTGACACCAAAGTTGAACAGTTGGTTAGATATGGTCATTAAGAGGAATGTTTCCAAGCTAAGGTTTGGGATTGATAGATCATTTGACTTTATTCTCCATCTGAAGTTGTGTATTCTATTCCCAAGGAAGTGTTAGTTGGAATACACTGGTAAACCTCCCCCGTCTTGCGAAGCTGTCTCTGAGTAAATGCCAATTCGTGGGGGAGGTTTGGTAAAGCAGATTATGAGGGGTTGTCCTATTGTAGAGTACATATCACTTAGAAGCTGCATGAGACATTTGCTCTCTATTTCATACAAACCTCTGCTAAAGAATTTGAAAGTCTACCAGTGCAACGAGCTAAAGAAAATTGAAATAAAAAATTTTAGGGTTTATGCTCTGATACCATAAGCTTAGGGTTTAGGCTCTGATACCATATTTAAATAATGAAAGGTGTAATCTATTTCTCACATTAATACTATACAGATCACAACTATTTATACATAAAAGCTATAACATAATGGGTCCACCCCTAACATGCCTAGGGTTTCAACACTTACAAAATGCATTAGTTAAACAAAATTAGCAACTAGGCACAACACTGTACTCGGCAGCATTATAAATTTTTTCTTTGAAAACTTAAGAGATATTTACATATAGTTTGTAAATGTTGAAAAAAAAAAAAGAATACCTCAGAAGTCTCAAGAATATCTCATAGATGTTTTTTTGAAAACTATTTCATAGATGTTAGTTTGCCTGATTTTTGTTTATGTGATGATATGTTGCACATCTCTCTGATGGAATGCACATACTCAATGACATTTTAAGGTAGATTGTAAAAACCAATCTTAACTAAAACATGATATTACATGATTTTCTACCCTATGTCCCCTCCTTTTATGCAAGATAATTCCATCATGATGTTTGAAGGACCTATATTTTAAAAGCCTTTTCAAGGCCGAACTCATTTTTATTATAAGTAAACTATAGATTCTTTTTGTATTTTATTATTATTATTATTATTATTATTATTATTATTATTATTATTATTATTCTTTAATTATTAATTATTAATTGTTTGGGCGTGAAAACACAAAGGAGGATTTTGTTTTTAATAATAGTATAGAATTTGACTAGATAATTCATTAAAAAAAAAAAGTAAACTATCTTCTAAAATATTTTTCATAACTAAATCACGAAATATATTACATATACATTAGAGCCTATGATATCAGAGCTTATGAAAAAGGGTTAAAAATTTTAGAGTTTAGGCTCTGATACCATACGCTCTAAAAAGGGTTAAAATTTTTAGGGTTTAGGCTCTGATACCATATTTAAATAATGAAAGGTTTAATCTATTTCTCACATTAGTGTTATACATATCACAACTATTTATACATAAAAGTAATAACGTAATGGGTCCACTCCTAACCGGCCTAGGGTTTCAACACTTACAGAATGCATTAGTTAAACAAAATTAACAACTGGGCATAACACTGCACTCGACAGCATTATAAATTTTTTCTTTGAAAACTTAAGAGATATTTACATATAGTTTGTGAATGTTGAAAAAATGAATACCTCAGCAGTCTCAAGAGAAGAACACACCATGTATATTGTAGTTGTACCTATAACTTCTGGATCACCAAGCGTCGGAACAAGGCATGTTTCCCCTGATGAAATGAGAATGTTGGACTGCTTATTCATGAAGATCAAGACATTCAAAGCCAAGTCTTCTAGTTGGAGAAAGAAAAAAATTTATCTTCAACCTTTGTAACTCTACCCGTTAGAAATAGAGAGAGGCGGAGGAGACTGGTGATAGTCGAAAAACCTCAATGGAGTAAGCTTGTTTGGCCTCACCTCTCTACTTGTAGGCATTCTGATGTGCTGGAACATCGTCTTGTAGCTTAACTCCCATCCATCTCGTCAATTCGGTCACTAAGAAACTGAATCATACCACTTGGGTGATAATCTTTTCCTTCTTGTTGACTGTCTTCTAGATGAATTGGCACAAGAAGTTGAAGATAACCATGGACTAATCCACCAGGTAATTCTCTAAGAGAGCACTCAGCATCGTGAACTTTTCCGCGGTAACATCATCTGTCCCAGCCACTCGGTTCTCAACAATTCGGCTGAGTATGTCAATGGACCTCTCGAACTCTGGCTTGAAAGTCTTTTTCTTAAAAGAAAACTTGAGTTCCTTCGGTGTCTGCTCGCGTTTTGCTTCCTTCCACAGTTCCACAGTACATCTTGGTTATAGGTATAACAATATGCTCTCCTTCTCTTATTGGAAAATCAATGTCTCCGTGCACAATCACTATGTCAATTCCATTCACCCTTGAATGGATCACTTCCTTATCCAGTGTTGCATTTGCAAAGAACTTAATCACGTCAAGCAAATGGACAGTCTTGTAGTCATGAGTCAAGTACTTCATGAATCCAACATCTTTGAAGCACTTGATCAATCTCTCTGTGGCCACCCTATCAGTTGAGTGTTTTAGGTATCAGTTTCTATCGAGCATTAATTCATTTCTGACCTTCGTCTTCAACTCTTTGAGAGTTGATTGATCGTTAGTAGGGCTGTTGGGTTGGGAGTTGGTTGAAGATGATGAAGTAGCCATTGATGGAGGTTCGAAGGTTTTGGAGTGTTTTGAACTTTAGGTTTTTAAGAGAGAGAGAGAGAGAGTTTGCAAAAAAGTGAAGGGTTGCTTTTGCTATGTCTCCATGAATGATCACAACATTTGTCCCATTCACCCTTGATCAAATTTCATCGCCCTTCAGTTCAGTATTTACATAGAACTCAGTATAATCAATCCGGTGAACCGCCTTGTAGTCTTGAACTAGGTATTTCATCAAGCTACAATTTTCGAAACACTTGATGAGTCTCTCAGTAGTCGCCTTGTCCATCAAATGCTTCAAGTAACCTTCCCTGTCATCAGGGCCGGTTCAGAGCATGTCTAATATGAGCGACCGCACAGGGCCCCCCAATTTTTGGGGGCCCCATATTTTAAAAATAAAACTATAGGTATATATAGTAATAATAGTATTTATTTTATATAAAGAAAATTGATCCCAAATTAATTTAAAAACCTAAAAAAAAGTATCTATTATATAAGGACAATTAGGTCAGACTATAAAGACATTACCAAAACTGCAATTCGGCAATTAAATTTCCTAATCCAAAATCTCAATTAACAAATTCTCAAATCTCAATTAGGCAATAGCATGTTCAGAGTATAAGGAATTAAAGACATTTCCAATTTCGCAATTTGGCAATTCGAAACCCTATAAACTATGTACCAGTACCCTAATAAATTGGGCAATTCGCAATTGGCAATTCAGCAGATCGCAGAGCGCAACTCAACTAATTCTTCAATTATTCTTGATCACACAAATTTTCAAGTTCTAACTCCCTTAACAGGTAATTAAAATTACGTATTTTTCACAATTTTTGTTTATTGTCTTATTGACATGACTTAATAATTCTGAATTCAGAATAATATATTTAAGATTTTGTTTATTGATTATTTATTTATTTATTTATAGAGTTTCTAAATAATTTTTTTTTTCTATAGGATTTTATAATTATGTCTTCTAGAAAATATTCATCTCGGTTTACAAAAGAAAAGAAGAATTGAGTAACTAACACAATCTTAAAAGGGAGCTCTTGAAAAATTCATTACAAAATAAACTCAAATAGATGAGCAAAAAGATGATGCCAAGGAAAAATTATTAGATGCTAACCTTCATATAGAAGATCAAGATGATTGTGAGATTGAGAAAAATTTGAATGATAGTGTGCACAATGATGATAGAAATCACAGTGACAATGAAAATAATGTGAATGATGATAGTTGTTTAGATGATGTTTGTCGCAAAGATAAACCAAGTGATTCGCTTTTATTTGACATATATGATCCAAGAAATTGAAATGCCCTTGATTCTAAATTAATAGATATTCTTACGAAAGATGTTCCTAAAAGAGATTTATCAGTAAATAAAGGTCCTAAAGATAAATTCTCTAGAAGATTTTTGTCAACATTTTACACAAGATATTTGCGTCTAAATGTGCACGACGCGTGTCACTTTTTAAATAAATTTTAAATGTATTTTTTATGCAATGTTTATATGTTGATACAACTTTTTGAACAGCGTAACTATTATTTATATATAGAAATTACTTATGAAAAAAGGGCCCAAATTATGATATTGCACAGGGCCCCAATTTTGTGCATCCGTATGCACCATGCATGGTGCATCCGGATGCAAAAACGACGTCGTTTTGACGTCTAACTTAAAAAAAATAATTCAGAATTGCATAACTACACATCCATAATTTCATCTCATCCATAATTTCATAACTATAAATCCAGAATTGCATAACTACACATCCATAATTTCATAACTATAAATCTAGAATTGCATAACTACACATCCATAACTTCATAACTATACATCCAGAATTGCATAACTACACATCCATAACTTTATAACTATAAATCCAGAATTGCATAACTACACATCCATAACTTCATAACTACACATCCAGAATTGCATAACTATACATCCAGAATTGCATAACTATACATTCAGAATTTTATAACTAAAAATCCAGAATAAATAAACTAAAAAATAATAACATAATGTTGTTGCTGGGAATCGAAACTGATTTTCTTTTTTTAAGTAGGACGCGCATTTTGACAAAACGACGTCGTTTTTGCATCCGTATGCACCATGCATGGTGCATACGAATGCACAACATAATTTGCCCCCAATTTTTATTGGAACGGCCCTGCCTGTCATGCATGAGACCATTCTTGACCTTTTTGTTCATTTTCTCATGAGCTGGCAAGTCGTTAGTAGGGAGTTCAGGGTTGGAATCACTAGATGAGGATGAGTTTGCCATTAATGGTGGTGAAAGCTTTGAAGGTTTTGAAAATGTTTAGATTTTGAGAGAAAAGGCTAACTTTTGCAAATTTTATTGAAAGTGAAACCATTGCTTTTGCAAGAGCATGCGCAACTTGATTTGTTGATCTCTTAATATGATTACAAACAATCCTACTAAAGCTAGTCATAAGTTGGTGACAATGACAAAGGATGTGGCCTTTGTAAGTTCTATCGACTCTTCTTCTCTAGAAGGCACTAACTGCGTTGAAGCAGTCTGATTCCAACCTTACATTCGCAATCCTTTGATCCCTTAACCATGAGAGAGTTTCCCGACAAGACATGATTTCTGTCGCATAGGGCCACTTAAGAAATTAGTACAATGTCATTATAAGTTACTTTATATACAATAAAAAAAAATAAACAACTAATTTACCAAACACTTTTCTATAACAAACTACAAACTAATACAATTAGCTGGTCAAACCAACTAACACAACTAATTATCAGCTATCAACTGAGTGTTAAACATCCCCGTCAAACCAACTAACACAACTAATTATCAGCTATCAACTGAGTGTTAAACATCCCCATATCTACACTATGACACAATATTCCTACATGTAACCTCTCATGGCTGTCAATAATGTTATATTATTTGGCTTTATAATATGTTATTAATTGTGTGGTCCTAGATAGGTAGTTTAGTAGAGCCTAATAGTTAGGAGAGGTTTACGTCTTCTAAACCTCTTTTATTATTGTAATCATTATCTGTTGAGTTGAATGCTGAATCACTATTCTAATCTGGTATCAGTTAGCCTTACGTTAGATCCTCCTTCTTTCTCTCTCTCTCCCCAAAAATGTCGACGAACTCATCGGAAAGAACAATCACCACCTCCGTCCCAAGTCCGGCCACCACGGCAAACCCTCTCTCCTCGGCACACCATTTTATGTCGATCAAGCTCACGTCCCGGAATTTTTTATTCTGGCGTACGCAATTGGTTCCATTCTTACGGGGCCAAGAACTACTCGG